AAAAAAAAGACCGATCGTCAACGTCAAATACACAAGCCTGTCTCATATCGATTGTTTACCAATAAAAAGTTGTGTTGCTGTGTAGAGCTGAGCATACGGCAACTTTTGATTCCATAGACCAGCGCACAATTCATTACGTAGATCTACGTCAAGACTAGCTTATTATTGTAATAATGATCAGTTGCCGGGGGAAAAAAGACTGACGCGTATGCGACGTTCAAAGCCCAGACCGATAGTGCCCCCCCCCCACCACCACCCTCCCCGACACGCACACAGCCACACGTGTGCAGGCCGCCCATCCGACCCCGACACACGCTAACGAGCCATCTTTAATTGCTTCTGATGACCTCTTGACAAATAAACATTTATTAGAAGCGCTCTAACTTTTCAGGCCGGCCTCAAATTCATCATAAGATTAAAACTCGGCTCCGTCACAAAACGCCTTTTTGCCCGAAGTGATCCCGGTCTCTACCCAGCCTGAGGCGAGTCACGAGTGAGGCAGGACAGGAAGCCGGATTCACGAGTCACAGGAAGTCGGAAGTGATGTCATGCTGGACAAGAATCAGAGTCCGAATAACATTTTTTCATATTCGGACTCGAGTCCGAATAATCACTTCGTACCGGGTTAGGCGTGTACGTTGTGTATAATAATGTCTATGGCATGGAGTTAGGCCTGGACCACTGCTCCCAAAGAGTGCTGCATGATTAACCTTCTAATTCTTAAATTATGCCATTATTAGTCCATGGATTACTTTAATATAGACGTTGGGCGCGATCTGTTGATTTGCGCGATCCATAGATCGCTGCGGATCGCGCAGCGCATTTGGTTGATCGAGGAAACGCGCGACAATCCATCGATTGTTGCGCATTCTGTTGATCAGCGGATCGCGCAGCGCTTTTGTCGATCCATGAAATATACACTACTGCGCATTCTGTCGATAACTATGATGATGAAGTGAATTTTTTTTTAAAAGAAAATTGGTTTACTGAGCATGTCAGTCTTTGAGCGTCCTGTTGTTTTGCTTCGAAGAAGAGTTGTGTTTTGAACTTAGTGTTGACGGTTGAGTGAGGCAGATACACGACGTTAAATCGAGCACCTGCACTCAGTATTTGGATGGATTTGATTGGCTGAGTATTTCACGTGGTATTCAAAATACGGTCGGCCGTCTTTATTCGGACTCGAGTCCGAATAACATTTTTTCATATTCTGACCCGAGTCCGAATTTTAAAAAATCATGTTCAGACTCGAGTCCGAATATGAAAAAATGTTAGGTAGTGTCAATTGCCACCGAGTGACGCGGTGGCAATTGACAAAAATTGACTTTTGTCAATTGCCATCGAGTAAATTGGAGCTCTTTTGCGTTGGCGGGTAGATCTAGCTTATTGTGCTCGAGTGCTAGGTGTTGTGCGTTCGCCTCTCTGTCCCTCCGTGTGTGTGTGTGTGTGTGTGTGTGTGTGTGTGTGTGTGTGTGTGTGTGTGTGTGTGTTTTCCTGACCCCCGCCCCCCGATTTATGTTCCCCGATATAACGTGAATTTCTGCTTGAGTTTGTGACCTTCTACTTCTAGAATTGCCTGTGTTGGTTCTACACCAAAGTGTAAGCTATGTCTAGCCTAGATCTAGGCCTACGTCTCATTGAAAACACGCCAAGTTGGTAGGCCTACCATAGCTCTAGATTAGATGCTCGTCCAATGAAATTAGTTGAAAACAAATTGACCCATTAGACACACATTATGTATAATGCTAAAGACAGTGTTGTTTTCAGACTTGACACCGCTTCACTCTGTGGCAATTGACAAAAAGTCAATTTTTGTCAATTGCCACCGCATCAATCGGTGGCAATTGACGCTGTACCAAAATGTTATTCGGACTCGGGTCCGGAAAAAAGGAAGTGTATTCGTTCTATAGATCTATCGTTCAGTGCTTCCAATTTCCCGCCATTTTTTAGTTTCCCCAACACCTTTTCTGCCGATCCGATGCCCGCCGCCTCATTGATACGCC